CGACGGGGAACGTGTTAACCACACTCACCCCCAGGCATTATGGCGACGGGGAACGCGTTAACCACACTCACCCCAGGCATTATGGCGACGGGGAACGTGTTAACCACACTCACCCCCAGGCATTATGGCGACGGGGAACGTGTTAACCATACTCACCCCAGGCATTATGGCGACGGGAACGTGAACACACTCACCCCCAGGCATTATGGCGACGGGGAACGTCAACCACACTACCCCCAGGCATTATGGCGACGGGAACGTGTTAACCACACTCACCCCCAGGCATTATGGCGACGGGGAACGTGTTAACCACACTCACCCCCAGGCATTATGGCGACGGGGAACGTGTTAACCACACTCACCCCCAGGCATTATGGCGACGGGGAACGTGTCAACCACACTCACCCCCAGGCATTATGGCGACGGGGAACGTGTTAACCACACTCACCCCCAGGCATTATGGCGACGGGGAACGTGTCAACCACACTCACCCCCAGGCATTATGGCGACGGGGAACGTGTTAACCACACCACCCCCAGGCATTATGGCGACGGGGAACGTGTTAACCATACTCACCCCCAGGCATTGGCGACGGGAACGTTAACCACACTCACCCCCAGGCATTATGGCGACGGGGAACGTGTCAACCACACTCACCCCCTATGGCAGGGAACAACCACACTCACCCCCAGGCATTATGGCGACGGGGAACGTGTTAACCATACTCACCCCCAGGCATTATGGCGACGGGGAACGTCAACCACACTCACCCCCAGGCATTATGGCGACGGGGAACGTGTCAACCATACTCACCCCCCAGGCATTATGGCGACGGGGAACGTGTTAACCATACTACCCCCCAGGCATTATGGCGACGGGGAACGTGTTAACCACACTCACCCCCCAGGCATTATGGCGACGGGGAACGTGTTAACCACACTCACCCCCAGGCATTATGGCGACGGGGAACGTGTTAACCATACTCACCCCCAGGCATTATGGCGACGGGGAACGTGTTAACATACTCACCCCCAGGCATATGGCGACGGGAACGTTAACCACACTCACCCCCAGGCATTATGGCGACGGGGAACGTGTTAACCATACCACCCCCAGGCATTATGGCGACGGGGAACGTGTTAACCACACTCACCCCCAGGCATTATGGCGACGGGGAACGTGTTAACCATACTCACCCCAGGCATTATGGCGACGGGGAACGTGTAACCATACTCACCCCCAGGCATTATGGCGACGGGGAACGTGTTAAACCACACTCACCCCCAGGCATTATGGCGACGGGGAACGTGTCAACCACATCACCCCCAGGCATTATGGCGACGGGAACGTGTTAACCATACTCACCCCCAGGCATGCGACGAGAGTGTTAACCAACTCCCCCCAGGCATTATGGCGACGGGGAACGGTAACCACACTCACCCCCGGCATTATGGCGACGGGGAACGTGTTAACCATACTCACCCCAGGCATTATGGCGACGGGGAACGACATACACCCCCAGGCATTATGGCGACGGGGAACGTGTTAACCACACTCACCCCCAGGCATTATGGCGACGGGAACGTGTGTAACCATACTCACCCCAGGCATTATGGCGACGGGGAACGTGTTAACCATACTCACCCCCAGGCATTATGGCGACGGGGAACGTGTTAACCACACTCACCCCAGGCATTATGGCGACGGGAACGTGCACCACACTCACCCCCAGGCATTATGGCGACGGGGACGTGTTACACTCACCCCCAGGCATTATGGCGACGGGGAACGTGTTAACCATACTACCCCCAGGCATTATGGCGACGGGGAACGTGTTAACCATACTCACCCCCAGGCATTATGGCGACGGGGAACGTGACCACACTCACCCCCAGGCATTATGGCGACGGGGAACGTGTTAACCACACTCACCCCCAGGCATTATGGCGACGGGGAACGTGTTAACCACACTCGCCCCCAGGCATTATGGCGACGGGGAACGTGTTAACCACACTCACCCCCAGGCATTATGGCGACGGGGTGTTAACCACACTCACCCCCAGGCATTATGGCGACGGAACCATACCCCCAGGCATATGGCGAGGGAACGTGTTAACCACACTCACCCCTAAGGCATTATGGCGACGGGGAACGTGTTAACCACACCTCCCCCCAGGCATTATGGCGACGGGAACGTGTTAACCACACTCACCCCCAAGGCATTATGGCGACGGGGAACGTGTTAACCATAAACTTTAAAAAAATCGTCGGGCGAGGTTCGGTGCCAGAGAGAATTTACGTTCAGATAATAAACCTGAACATTTACTGGCTTAGGGAACACAGATCCAATAATTTAAAGATTATGTTCTCAGCGAATTAAATTTCCCCGCCAGGACCACTTGTACCCCCAGACAGAGAGTACAATAGTCAAGGGCTATATAATATTACCAACTCCGAGCTTCGGTTTACATTTTTGGAGCAAGAAAGAGAGGGAGGAAGGAGGGAAGGGAGGAAGGAGGGAAGGAGGAAGGAGGAAGGGAGGATGGAGCCAAAGGGAGGAAGGAGGGAAACGGAGAGAGAGCATCAAGAGTATTGGAACATTTTCAATCGGGAGTCAAGTGGATTTTATATATTTATCGAAATGTAAAACAAAAATTCTCTTCTGCCATGTGATTTATGCTTAGAATTTAAGGTTTGAACTTCATAATGTGCATGTCGAAAATAGTGATGAAATACAATATTGTGGTGTAATGGTCGCAGGAAGCTCAAATTTCAGTAGCGATCGAGCCAGTTCGAGCCAGTCTTGTGAAAGTTGTTCGGTCTTGTTGTTGACGCGTCATTAATGTATAAAAAAAAAAAAAAAAAAAAAAAATATATATATATATATATATATATATATATATATATATATATATATATATATATATATATATATATATATATATATATATATATATATATATTCCTTGATATTATATGATAAACATATAGATAAACTATAGTTTGATACGTGAGGAAATTTTTATAGTGCCAAAGTTCAATAATGTAAATATTATGGAAAATTTCGAATATTGAAAATGATTGTTTTTCCTTAATCAAAATTAATAATTTTAATGTGACTTAAACCTTCCTCCCTAATTTAACCAAACATTACCTAATCAAACCTAAACCAACCAAATGTTAGCTAACCCACCCTGACCAAACCAAACATTACCAACCTAATCTACCACCCCCCCCCCTCTCCCGCACCAGGTAGCGTTAGGGTGTTTAATCATCAGGTGAAATAAGCTGCGGATGGGGGCTAATCTTCAGGTGATCTCAGCACTACCACCAATATTCAACCTATCCAAACCTCGCATTCAGTAGCACCATAAACTTGGCGAATATTAGCGAGGGGCTGGACCGTCCGTCGCCAACTTTAATCCCCGCGGATATTGACCCAAAACTTTGTGCCTGCGTGAACGAAATGTCGTGAGAAAATCCTTGCTCTTAATATTTTTGTCTATTCATTCCAGTATCTATCGGTCATTTTCTTGTCGTTTCGTTTGTTATTTAAAAAAAAGATATATTTTTACAAATGTATAAAATTCAATTCATTTTTTCTTTAAATAAGTTTCGGAAAATTTTCGGTGTAAATGAGAATCTTTTACATTAAATATATTTGTAAATGTAAAAAATATGATAATCTCTACTCATGTTTTTTCCTTTCACTGTAAATTTTAAATATTATCATCCTCCTATGTAAATGCAAAATAAAATAAATTCCACTAACTGATTCTTCTGTAAATGTAAAAGAGAATTATTTACACTCGCTGATCTATTCCTGCTTTCACAAATTATTCAAAAATTAAGGAAAATTCCTCCTTTCATGTGTATTTAAAGGCTTTAAATACCCTTCTTTCATAAGCTGAATTCAAACTTTAGTCGATATTTCATTCCTACTTTCAAAAATTTATCCTAAACAAGAAAGAAAGATTCCCGTTCCTACTTTCTCGTCTCGTTCCAGAACTTTACTTCCCTATCGAATATCAAATAATTCCCAATTCCCATTTTAATCTAAATTCTTTGCCTTTCAATTCCTGCTTTCATTAGAGACTAGAAAGATGAGAAACAATCCCATTCCTGGTTTAATTCCTGATACTGATTCCTACTTTCATAGTGAAGTTCGGTTGAATAAATGACCTCATTCCCACTTTTACACACGCATCCTATTATTGTCATTTCCATTTTCACTTTCATTCCAAGATTTCATTCCTACTTTCACCTTCATTCTAAGAACTCTATTCCAATCTTTTGTTCCTGGGAATACGAAAATTTCATTCCTTCTTTCACCATCAATCATTCACGCGGGTCACCTGTGAGTGAATGAATGAAGTCGCGACAAAATATTTAAGATAACAGATATGAAGTGTTGGCCAATGAGAGAGAGAGAGAGAGAGAGAGAGAGAGATGGGGAGGAAGGAATGGGTAAAGAAAGAGAGAAGGAATAGGTAGATAGATAGTGAAGCACATCGACTCAAAATTAAATACATAAACTGTGTGGAAGACAGACAGGTAGATGAACACACACACATACACACACACACACACACACACACACACACACACACACACACGAACACACACACACACACACACACACGAACACACACACACACACACACACACACACACACACACACACACACACGAACAAACACAGACACACACACACGAACACACACACACACACACACGAACACACACACACCACTTCCTTCCTTGTCTCGATATCACTTACCTCCCCCACCACCACACCTTACGAGGCAATCTCTCACCACCACTTTGAAGGCCACTTATCCCCACCACTACACCTCAAGAGGCCACTTCCTCTCACCGCCACCACTTTGAAGACCACTTCACCCCACCACTAACCCTCTAGAGTGTAGAGGTCACTTAATTCCCCCACTACAACCTCTGCAGGCCACTTACCCCCCACTAACCCTCTGTAGGCCACTTACCTAGTAATATCCTGAGTGGCAGCAGGAGAATGACTCGCCGCAGATCACAACACAACAAGAACCTTAGTGTTTCTCACTCCTCGCTTGTAATCCGCCACTAACTACCCTCAACTGCTTGTTCTACACCATGGTACTATCACTGGCCTTGTTCCAAGGACGTTGGCTTTTATAATGTATTTATTTTTCTGGCAGGAGTTCATGAGAAAATAAGTTTCTTTAGGTTAGTTTTCTTTTAAAGGTTAAGGATGGGTTTGGGGTGAGAACACGGCGGCAGCCAGGACGTGGTGAGTGGGAGCGTCTGCTCACCTAGCTGGCTGGGGAGACACTGACGTCGTCGCCTCCAGTCCAGACCACCACTACCACCACCACCACCACCACCAACAGACCTCAGAGCCTCACTGTCGCCACCACCACCACCATCACCTCCACACACACATCATCATCATTATTACTCTCTTCTGCCCTCTTAAATATCACCATTTCTTCTTATTCATTCCATGCGTCATAATCCCACCTGATGAGCGTGAACATACTGTAGAGAAATACAGTATATACAAGTTTGACTCTATGACCAAATTACCCGAAGGAACTCCAGCTGGTTGATCCAGAAGAAAACAAAGTTGGTGAGACGCGCCTGTCTGACCCACACCACCCAGGTCAAACTCGTGACGTCTTACTTGACCTTGAGCCTCCCTCCTCTGAGACAAACATATTTGTTATCTTTAGATTTCTAGCACTAGATGGATGGATGGATGGATGGATGGATTGATGGATCTTTCTTTCGTCAGATGAGCTGTTCTGATTGGTTACACAGATACTAATACTCGATGAAACTGCTCTTTTAGTGGTTAAACTTGACTCGCCCAGCCAATGAATATATTTGCTGTGATAAAAATCTGTTGATTGGTGTTTTAAACATATATGTTAATATTTCTGTAGGTGATGTAAACATTCCTCCGCCATTACCTGTATTAATTGGTGTTATTGTTTCTTAACGATTAATTATACGGGTTTTTATCCAATATGGCGGACACCCTTGCAACGGAAGTGACGTCACGTTGACGTAGACCAATAACAGGGTCCAGAACGACTTTTGACCATTATTATTATTAGTAATACTATTATTATTATTATTATTATTATTATTATTATTATTATTATTATTATTATTATTGTTGTTGTTATTTCACCTCCTTCTCCTCCATTTCTTTTTGCTCCTCTTCCTCACGCACCTTCTTCACCGGCACCAGAACATAACCTTGAACAAAACACAGCCAGGTAAGGGACACTTGGCCAGGCCTGGTCGTTAGATCCGGGTTTTATTGTATCTCGTAATAGCCCACGTACAGACTTTTAGCGCAACCCTGAATTAGCGGAACTGTGAGGGAAGGAGAGGTAGGAATGGCGATAAGGAGGGAGAGAGAGAGAGAGTGAAGCAGGAGGGAGGGAAGAAAGAAGAAAGGAAGGGAGGGAAATGGGGAGAGAGGGAAGGAATGGGGAAGAGTTGGAGGGAAGGAATAGGGGGAGAGGGAGAGAGACAGGGAGACACTACTAAAGACAAGGGGGGATAAATGGAGACAGAAAAACACAAGAAGAAAGACAGAGAAAGAGACAGAAAGGGAGGCAGAGGGGCAGACAGACAAACAAAGAGAGAGAGACAGAGAGACAGACAGAGATAAAAACAGAGAAAGAGAGAACAGAAATACTTGAGACAAACGAGGGAGATAATCTCTTTTCTTATGACTTTGTTTACGTCTTTATCTCTCATTTAGTGTCTCTTATCTCTCTCTCTCTCGCCTCCTCCACACTACTTTACTGCTTTCCTCCTTATGCTTATTCTTCTTATTGTAATTTTCTTCTCCTTATTCTTCCACTAAGTTACTGAAGGTTTTTGATTAATTTTCCTTATTTTTATTCATTTAATTCGTTTCTCTTATTATTATTATTATTATTATTATTATTTATTATTATTATTATTATTATTATTATTATTATTAATTGTAATGAAAACTCTCTCACTTACTCTCCCCACACCCTCTCATTCTCCTCCCCTCACCCTCTCACTCTCCCCCACCCCTCTCCCTCCCCCCCCCTCCCCACCCCTCCTCTCCCCCACCCCTCTCACTATCCTCCACCCCTCTCACTCTCCCCACCCCTCTCCACTCTCCCCACCCTCTCCTCTCTCCCCCCACCCCTCTCACTCTCCCCACCCCTCCTCACTCTCCCCACCCCTCTCACTCTCCCCCACCCCTCTCACTATCCTCCACCCTCTCACTCTCCCCACCCCTCCCCACTCTCCCTCACGCCCCTCTTACTCCCCTCGTTACTCTCCCTATCTGTGGTCCCTCCCCGAGTGATCTATGAGTGACCGACAGAAGGTCCTGAGTGACAGCTTCCTGCACCCAAGTTGATTAATCTATCATATTGGTTTTGGGCGGACCTACGATATGTGTCTGTCCCTTTCTCTCTGTATCTCTCTCTCTCTTTGTCTCTGTCTCTCTTAACCTCCACCTCTCTCTCTCTCTCTCTCTCTCTCTCTCTATCTCTTTGTTTCTGCCTTTCTCTTGTCTCTGCCTCTCTCACCCTCTCTCTGTCTTTCTCCTTGTTTCTCTCTGTCTTTTTGTCACTGTTTCTCTCCCTGTCTCTCTCTCATCCCATCCCTTTGCCTTTTCTAATTTTCTGTCTCTATTTTCTCCCCATCTTTATCTGTCCCTCTCTCTCCCTTTCTTTTAACCTGTCCGTTTCTCTTTATCTGGTTATTTGTGTTTCTTTCCATTTCTCTCTTTCTGCTTCTCTCTCAATAATTCTCTGTCTGTCTGTCTGTCTGTCTGTGTGTCTCTCTGTCTGTCTCTCTGTCTGTCTGTCTGTCTCAGTGATACTTAGGTGGGGAGGGAGGTGGAGAGGTGAGGGGGGAACGAAGAGGGAGGGGATGGGGAGCAATAGTTGAGTTGGGAGGGGAAGAAGGAGGGGGAGAGGGGGAGAGGGATGAGGGAAAGTAGGTAAGGTGAAATGTGGAGGGGAAGGAGGGGGAAGGAGGAAGGAGGGAGAGGGATGAGGGGAAAGTAGGTAAGGTGAAATGTGGAGTGGGAAGGAGGGGAAGGGGGAAGGGGGATGAGAGGAGGCAGAAGAGAATTTCGAGGACCAAACTTGGACAATTTCGAAGGAATGTTTTAAGTTTGCTTCAGTTCAAACTTGTTTTTCTTAGGATGGGGAAGAGGAGGGGAGGGAAAGGAGGGAAACCTACAGCTGTGCATATGATGTCTGAGAGGGGGAGGGGGGTGAAGGTGAGGGAACGAAGAGTCAATAGTCTGTCTGTCTGTCCCTTCCTTCTACAGTACCGCTCTCTATTCGTATACACACACATCCACACAGACACACATATAAATAAATTCAAAAGGAAATAATAAGTGTAGGAGACAGACAGACAGACAGACAGACACCACCGTCATATCACGAACAAGGCAGAGTGTCAGTATTGGCCTTGATAATATTAGTGTTAATAATAATAACTCATCCTCCACATCCTTCAACTGAACCAATAATTAATAAATACAAAAAATCATAACTAAATATCAGAAATGACACGATTAAAAAATATAGTAAATAAATATATATAAATGTCTAAATTATAAACTAAGAACGCAACTTAATGAAAAGATTGAGAATTAGTGTAATTGCTTTTCGAATAAATATTTCCTTCCTGATTTACGACCATTAGTTAGTGAAAATATTACCAATTGGTCGACACACACGGCGCCCCAAGGCTCTGCAGCTCTAATAAATAATTCAAATATATTTTTTTTATTTGATAACTCGGTATGCAAATGAACCTCCCCGTTAACTGCTGCTGGGGTAAACATGGAGCTATTTGTACAAGCGATGAGGGTAAAAAAAGTGTCCATCATATATTGTGTAAATTATAATAGTTTAGGTTAGTTAGGCAGTTGAATATGTTACAATTTAACAGTTAGGGAAAGTTAGAAGCGGTCAAGGAACTACACTATTATGAGCCAACACCAAGACTTAAAGTACAGTACTTAGGAGATAGTGACAGTAAACTTAACTACCACAAGTTATGGTAGTTAGTGTACAGAACAGTTAACAACCACAAGATATGGTAGTTAGTGTACAGTACAGTTAACAACCACAAGTTATGGTAGTTAGTGTACAGAACAGTTAACAACCACAAGTTATGGTTGTTAGTGTACAGTACAGTTAACAACCACAAGCTAAGGGTTGTTAACGTGCTGAACTACCCAACAGCACCTTCTGTATTATGTATCACGCCCCACGCGGCACCTTCTACAGTAAAGTCTTTTATCATATGCAAATTGGTATGTCACTGTCTACACACGATCATTATGTGTCATTTGTGGGGTGATGAAGTGCCTGCCAGGGGATATATGTACGGGTTGATCTAGATATATTCCGTAAAGTGAGTGTTGTTGCTGTGTCGATAACTGCGTGTGTGTGTGTGTGTGTGTGTGTGGTTGAAATTTAGGTATGGAGCATACTAGAGGCTCACCCCCACACGCCCCATAACCAGCCAAGTGTGTCCACCAGACGTCAAGGAACACCCCCCCCAGTCGATCACCTGTGAACACTACCTACCTTCCCCCTCACACACCGTCCCCTCAACACGATTACACGTGTGTATGTATTTATGTATGTATTCATTTATTATTATTATTATATCTATTATTATTATTATTGTCATTATTACTATTATTATTATTACTATTATTATGTAGGTAGTAAGCAGCTATCAAACAGGGAGGTACTTCCACCTGGGAAAATATTGGAAGTATAATGTGTTGTCTAATGGTAGACCCTGCTGCCATATGGCATCACGAAAATAGTGACCAAGTCCTAGGTTGCTCATCTTACTTTCTGCCTCATTTGCACACAATTGCAGGGTCTCAATTGTTTCTCTTACTTTGAGAACACAACATATTATTATTATTATTATTATTTCGCCCCAAGGCCCAGATTAGGGTCAGTGACCCCTGCCCGGGTGGGCTAATCCCCGTAAAAAAAAAAATGTTGCTCAGCTTCAACTAATTATCAATTTTCTCGCCAACACATACGCCAGTGGATCATTTTACCATATACGGTTATATTTGATGATTTAAAATATATATATATATATATATATATATATATATATATATATATATATATATATATATATATATATATATATATATATATATATATATATATTTATATTGTGGGAAACAGGTTGTTTGGTTCACACTCAGGATGGGATGGAGAAAGGAAATTCACAATGTGCTCTCCGTATACATGTTGTATTGGATGTACAATGCAGCTTGGTGTTGGAAGTGGCAGCATGGTTACAAGCGTGATGTAGAGAGAGCTGGGTGGTGAGGATGCTCAGAGGAGGACAGCTTGTGGGTCGCCATGCTCGCCGGCGGGAGCGAGGGCCGCCAGGCAGCGGCGGGGGAGGTGGTGTAGCTTGCTGCAGCTGTAGCTAGAAGAGGAGCGAGATAGGTCACCACGAGGTCAGGTTTTATATAGCGGAGGTAGGGGTGGCTTAATAGTTGACCTCCGTGATGTATAGCGGTGCTGGTTGAGCTAGACCACGAGGCATACACTGGGGAATTCGCGGGGTCGGCTACTCAGCGACAAACAGCGTTTGTAGGGAGAACCACTACAATATATATATATTAACATAATCTAATCAAACCTAACCCGAGAGGTTATTATCTAAAACAAATAAAAATACAAAATTATTTACGAAAAGAACCTTCAGAGAGCGCTGTGGTAGCGGCTTCCGCTGCATTATAATTTATCGTACAAAATTAAGCCAACGTAACCTAACCAAGCCTACAGTAATAGACTCATTAAATAAAATTTATGATTCTTTGATTTATATGAGTTTATCCAATAATTAAAAGAAAACGAACTTTATCTTAAATAAAAAAACGATTCATCAGTAACTATAATATTTTTGAAGTATTATACGAAACGCGTTTATATGTCCAATATAAGATATTGAGAAGATGGAACTAAGGGGTTAACAGACTTTCCATTATGGAAAAGATAAGAGAGATCTATTGTGAAGAAAATGATATTGTATTTGTTGAAAGGCAAGTGAGTGTGAATTTCTGTGATGATATTACTGACTAGATATCAATCTATCTCTCGACCCGACACTCAGGTATTATTATTATTGCTTTTCAGTAAAACATCATACCAGTTTATAATCGGTGTTACATGTATATAAACAATGCACTATATTAGTCCGTGTAGGTATACAGTTTCCAATGTACTGTAGTAAACGTAAAGGAAATTCGGTTAATGATGGGTGACAAAGCTATCATATACTTCTAATCATGTCTACAAGCGAGCAGCAAGGTCAGAAATTAAACTAAATAAAATAAAATTCCATTAAGCAGGTAACCTCTCCCGTCACCTTTCAGACGGAACAGTTGCCACGGACCCAAAACACCACTAATTTTAACGAAAACATTCTCACGAAAATAAAATGCCATTAACAAACAGTTTACGTGAATTATATATCAGCTTAATTTGTAGTTAATTACAGTTTGATAGAATACACAGGAAACGGAAATAACATAACCAAGCACCAAGGTAATGGACCGGATATGACAACACCCTTTTAATTTCCTCACGTCTCAGAAGATGGCAGCACAACCCGGAGTACCAACTCAAATATCGTTATAAAGTCATATAGTGAGTAATACATAACAAATACTTTACCACTACGTTATTATATGTCAAAAATGTATATTGAGTGTAAAATTCAAGCGATGTTTTCATGAATACGGATATATAGAGATAACTAATCATACGACTGGCAGAGGCGGCGAGTGTCTGTGGGAGAAAGTGTCTGTTTTCCCCAGGTAGCCATGAGCCAGGCACAGATAGTCTTGACTCACTTGAGACATGTATGTGTTGACGTGATCCTTCCTCCTCAGTGCGCTGTGAGTGATGGGATAAGTGTAGATATTATTAGAACACTTATATAAACAATGTTAGTGTACAGTGGCGGAAGAAGACGGCCCGTGGGAGACCTGCTTGTAGTGGTGGTGGCCGTGTGGTGGCTGTCAGGTGGTGGAGGTAAGATATGCGTCAGTGGGTTAACAGTTACCTGGAGGCGGAGGTGGTGATAGCTTGCCGTTCCTGATCGTCATGGTAATGGTAGTAATCAGATCAATAGAGTAATGGTAGATCAGAACCTCAACCATGATAAGCCTTCCAATAGTAGGAAAAAATATCCTAAACTTCCCAAATACCTAACTTTATCAATATATTTTATCTATTTACTGTTATCATTATTCGTATACCTCTTTCTTTTAATATTGGATCTTTATCTCCCCGTCGTTGACATCACCTAAGATATAATTAATTACATATAAAAATTATATTATTAATTATATTCAAGATTATAACATGACTATATTAGTAATTCCTCTTAATATCATTCACTACCCTCAACCCTCCCTCCCAGTCCAGATACAGTAGACAGCTCATACAGAACAAATAGACAGACAGACGGCAAATAGACAGTTCACAGACACCAAGTAACCAACCTACAGACAGACAGTAGCCAGTCATCACCACTACCACCACTATAACACATTGTATGAAAATCTTTCCTGACCCACCAAGAAGGACCTATCAACCAGGAGGACTCTATGGTCGACTTTCCTTTAACTTCTATATAGGATGGTCACCTCTATGGTTCCTAGTGTTATATAAGGTGTTTATCTCAGGAAGGTATTACACGTACTGTACTGTATAGTTACTTGGCTACAGGTGTGTGTATGTTTGGTTATATTACAGTTTGGTTATATTATTGGTTAGGGTGGGGAGGAGTATGCTAAGTCTTGGCTAGGCGTGGGATGGAGGTAGGTTAGGTTAGGTGCCGTGGTGGGTTAGGTTAAGGGTAGGTTAGGTTAGATTTAGATTCGATTCGGTTAAGTTAGGTTAGGGATAGGTTACGTTACGTTAGTGGTGAGGTCAGGCTAGTTTAAGTTGGGGATAGGTTACGTTACGTTAGTGGTGAGGTCAGGCTAGGTTAAGTTAGGGGTAAGTTACGTTAGGCTAGGTTAAGTTAGGGGTAGGTTACGTTAGGTTAGTGGTGAGGTCAGGCTAGGTTAAGTTAGGGGTAGGTTACGTTACGCTAGGGTAGGTTACGTTAGGCTAGGGTAAGTTAGGGGTAGGTTACGTTAGGTTCCGGTTCGGGGATAGGTAAGTAATTGTTTTTCATTCGTCAACACACCTCCTCCTCCCCTCTCTCTACCCCTCCCTCCCTCACCTCTCCACCAGTTCACCTTGAGACACACACACACACTCGTCCAGAGATCAGGTTTATATGTTAGTATGTCAGTCTGTTCGCCGTTATAGAGCAAACAGTTTCATAAGCAACAGATCTTTCCTGAGTACTAAGAGAGATTATGTCCTGTTGTTTTCTCTCTCCATACAGTCATATATTTCAATAATTTCTGTATATCTCAACGAATCTGTCTAAATCCAGTTATATTTTTCAACACATAACAGCCAGAGAAATAAATGTTTGTAAATAATTTTGTTACGACTGTTTCTGACGTTAGGGTTTAGTTAACAATTATCCATATTTATTTGTTCAGTTTATTTTGAGGTTGTGATGGTGTGGGTGTCTGTGTACGTGTTATAGGTGTGGGTGTCTGTGTACGTGTTATAGGTGTGGGTGTCTGTGTACGTGTTATATTGAGGTGAGGGGTGTCCGTGTGTGTGTGTGTGTGTATCAAGGCATTGCCATGTAGACACACAAACTCACCTGTCATTAAGAGGTACTCAATACCTGGTTCCTTCACTTCCTCTGATTGGTCGAGAATTTCACTCCTTAACCCGCTGTGTTTTGGTCGGCGATTTCACGTTGAGCCATTGTGATTGGCCGGTGATTTAACGTCGAACCGCTGTGATTGGCCGGTGATTAGCGACTCACCAGCCGTGATTGGTAGATAATTTACGACGAGGTAGATAACTGGATTGAGTCAGCATCAGGGCCAGTGAGGGAGGGAGGGAGACCAAACAGAGGTCCTTGAGTCAGCATCAGGGCCAGTGAGGGAGGGAGGGAGACCAAACAGAGGTCCTTGAGTCAGCATCAGGGCCAGTGAGGGAGGAGGAGACCAAACAGAGGTCCTGAGTCAGCATCAGGGCCAGTGAGGGTGGGAGGGAGAGAGACCAAGCAGAGGTCCCATCATCACTTCACCATTCTGAAAAATTCTCAAATTGTGTTACGGATCACCTGAAGATTAGACACCCCAGATTATTTCACCTAGAAATGAACCACCTTAAATTTAATCTAACCTACACCTACCCTAACTTAACCTTATATAAGCTAACCTAAGTTAATCTTGGCTAATCCAACGCAATTTAACCACCCCTAATCCAACATGACCTGACTTAATACAACCTAAACTAACACACACAATGTAGCATTTTGGGGTGGCTATTCTTCATGTTAGATAAATGGGATGACTAATCATCAGGTGGTTCAGTTTTCTACCTGAGATGATGATGACGTGAGAAGGTATTTAATTGTCTCATATAACCTGAGATGGACAGATAATTAAGATGACGAAAAATTCCCACTCAACTACCTGTCATCAAAACATTATTGACACACACACTCACACACACACACACACACACACACACCGTCATCAGAGTAACACACAACTTGAACACCGCCGCAGTATAACCACAAAACCACCCACAGAGGACCTGCTTTCTCCCCCACAACGCAGCCGTGCACCCAGGCGTTGACGTCAAAACGCCAGGCGGAGCGGCGTGGATGATTAATCTTGCTAATGAAGTCAACACAGGTTATGTTAGATTAGGTTTGACTGGGTTGGGTTGGGTTGAGTTTAGACCTGTATTACCAAGATGGGAAGAGCACAAGGGTTTTTTGGTGTACTCGTTCTGACAACGGTAAGAAAAAAAGAGTTATATCCTTTCTATTTGGTTTAATTTCATGTTTTATTAAATAAAATAAACGAACCTGGTAAACTTTTCTTGTTGTTTTATTGTTTGTAGAGAGTTGTGTTGTGTGTTTGTTATTGTTTTTTATAAGGTGTTAGTAATGCTATAATGAACGTTATTGATTTTAATACAAATATATGTCTTATATTGATAATTTACTTCGTTTTCTTCATCTAATTTATTATTCTCCGTTTTCTTTCTTCCTAACTTCAACCAAGACCACTTCCTTCCTTGTCGACATACATAAACCCAATTTCTTTTTCACAACTGATCCAATTCCGTCATCTGTCCCCGAGTAGAGGCGACAACTGCAGCCTCCTCCGTCCTCCTGTACTCGGCATTCACCTGGGGTGGTCTCCGGGGTAATACCACCTTCTCCTGGGGTGGACCTGGCACTAATGTCACCGTGGAGGTCCAGGTAGAGATAGTCGGCACTAGTCTGACCCCTGACCCCGAGGAGTATGACTGGGCCATCTACGACTGGCCGATGAGATATGATGTCAAGGATCGATGTAGTCTCTCCGTCCTGGGCACCAAGTGAGTGTGAGGCTGTGGAGAGTTGAGTGTGTTAAGAGTGTGAGTAGTAAGGGAGAGATAAGGAGAGAACTTCTATATCTTCGGTTAAGTTCAGGTAAATGCATAGATTATAGAATATAAATATTAATAGAGAGATTTAGTTATATTTAACAGCTATTTATTTATTAATATTTTTTGGGTAATTGACTGCACATCGAAATTTAATTAGCTGTCATAAACCCGTAGGTGGCGATGTTTTATTGTTTTAGTTATTATCATTTAAGGTTTATGGTATTAACTGTCATCAATTAAGGGCTGTAACTTAAACTTTTGTATGATGATATTGTTGTTGTTGTTATGGATTCCAAGAAAGACATTTATTTAAGTTCCTCAATCCAGTTGAAGCCATCATAGAAAACGACACTATTACGTATTACAGAAAATGGGACTTGTCGAGTATGTTTGGTAAACTAACGTTGCCACAGAGCTCGTCGGCGACCTTTGAGACCGAGGAACTGAACTTAGTGGGTGACGACTCGATCTGGGGACGCTCTCTCAGGATCTCCCACAAGCAGAGGACCACCTGCTCTAACATCCATGTAAGTCACACTGAGTTCAACCATATAATTATGAAGAAGAGAATCACAACCATCTTAAAATGAGACGAGATCTCTTTTTCTTTTGTTTGTAATTTTTTTTGTAGTTATCTTGAAAACAGCAAGTCTTACTGACCCTTTCCTTAATTACATAAAAAAATGTGTTAAGTATTCCCCCTTTTATGCCTTTCTTTATACCTAAAGTTTTTTCTACTATATACACTCAACCTTAACTTGAACTGATGATTCTAAATATTCAGAATCTGACTCTAAAACTGACGTGGTCCATTGAACACTTCCTTCCTCTGTGTCTCTTGTCAGGGTGTGAGCGGAGAGAGAACCTATGAGGCCAGGTTCCACAGTCCCATCGGCGGGTCCATCTGGCTGAGGACGTGGGCGTGGGACGGGCGGCCGACGACGAGGGGAAGACGAAGGGCACCCAGACTACCATCTTCACTGACGTCTTCAACACAGCAGACGATGATCCCTCGGCAGGTGACCATAACTGGTCCATCTTCATCACTGATATTCTCGACAAGAAAGGTAAAGTTACCTCTCTCTCTCTCTCTCTCTCTCTATCGGTGAAGCACTACATGTCTCTCCGTGTGCGTGTGAGGCTAGTAACCGTATGCACAGATGACGCAACTCTGCACTCTGCCGGGCGTCTCTCCTGTGAGTGACTGTAACGCGCGGTGGTCTGAAGTTGTACCGAGAGAGAGAGAGAGAGATAAACAAACAGGCAGGCAGAGATAAAAAATAATAAATGAGAGCGAAAAAGTCAAAGTTTCTTACATATAAACATTAAAATAAACACAATATGCACAAGAACTAACATCGTGTAACATTAGTGAACATTACAGGGACAGATTATGTAAACATGATAGACTATTGGAGTATCGTGACTAGCGGCTTTATATACAGAACATAACACTGTATTACCCCACAGTCATGATGCAAGGTAGAACCAACCATAATGTACTACAGGTCACTAGCTCACGATACAGGTCACGACTGTCACAAAACTTATATATTTATGCCATTAGTGTGGGGAGTACGACAGCCGGTGAGGAGTGGATGAGGACCAAGGTGAGTGAGCCAAGTGGGGGGGAAGGTGATGAGGGAGGTAATAACTATGATAATGACGGGGTGGAGTAGAGAGAGACAGAGAGAGAGAGAGGTTGAGCCAAGTGGGGGGGCAGATGATGAGGGAGGTAATAACTATGATAATGACGGGGTGGAGTAGAGAGAGAGAGGTGAATAATCTTTGTTATGCATTAGTACAGTACCTAATCCTTAATCCCTAAAAACAAATGAAAGAAACATCAAATCCCAAATGTCTCTCTCTTCAGTGTAACCTTGGTCATCCCTTATTGTCTTTCTCTCTCTGTATGATACTCCCACACTCCCTAATACCCCTAATCCTTCTCGACTTACAGAGAATCGTCCGTCGTGCAACTTCCTCAGCCGTATCTATGACCCGTTAGGATTGGAGAAATGCGACGGAGAGGGTCAGTGTCCTATGGGTGACCTGACCAACACTTACGGTCAACTGAGAGTAGGGACACACAGGTCAGTAAACCAGGGGGTGAGTAAGGGAGTGAGGAAGAAGAAGGGGAGAGTGAGAGGAGTGGAGGAGGAGAGGCGAGAGAAGGAGGGAGGAGTGAGGGAAAATGACAGAGGTTAAAAGAATGAGATAAAGAGGGAGGTGAGGAGACAGCGTGGGAGAATGAGAGAGAGAAATGAGATAATTATTTTAATAATTATATAAAGTGAATTAAAAACAGAGATAAGAGGGAGGACAACTAGATGTAGTTATACATAGAGAGAAATAAATTATCACTACACCACCTTCCCTTCACTCAGGTCTCGGTTCTCTCGTAAGTTCTACACCACCACCAAGATGGTCCTTCCTGACCTGTCCGGCCCCCGCAAGCTCTACCTGTCCGTGATGGGCGCCCTCCACCCCGACCACCTGTGGGCGTGCACCAAACTACGCGAGATCAAGCCTAAGACCGCCCGCGCCATCTTCAACTCTCAGGGCGTACGCGGGGAGATCAGGCTGGAACAAACATCCATCTTCACCCCGACAGACCTGACGCTGGAGCTGAGTGGCCTCGCTGGTAACGCGGAGGTTTCCATGTTCACGAGCTGCCGGCCATGCCACCCATCCACCCTGGGGATTTCCCCTGTGGAGCCACTAAGGGGCACTACAACCCCTACGGCGTGGACGCCAGTAACTCCCCCAAGGCCGGGTTAGGGGCACACGACCAGTACGAGCTCGGTGACCTGAGTGGTAAACACGGCGCCCTTACGGGTCTGGACGAGGCCCTGGCCACTGTCACCGACCACAACCTGCCACTGTTTGGTCCCTGCTCGGTCATCACCCGGAGCCTCGTCATCCACAAGGCGTCAGGAGACCGCTGGGTGTAAGCCAACATAAGACCTACCCGGCCACAGATCCGCGCTGTCACCTTCCGGTACCCGCTGGTGGGGGAGATCGTATTCGAGCAGGAGGCTGACGACCCCCTAGCGGATACCCACCTACTGGTGACCAACTTGTTGTACTCTGACGGCAGCAAGAACGACACGAGCGGTCACCGCTGGTACGTGCACCAGGACATCCCCGGTAGAGACTTCTACAACTGGACGATGAGATGTGTGTCTGCTGGCCCTCACTACAACCCTTATAAGGTAACACAACTCTTCTCCTCCTCTTTTTCAATCATTTCCCATCACTCCTCCTTCCTCCCTCCCTCCATCTCATTCACTCATGCATTTACCCACCCTCTATCTCACCCTCCCACATTCCTTCTCACTTATTCACTTCTCCCTCTCTCTCTCTCACACCCACTCACCCCTCCATCCCTCTCCCCACCTAGGTAAGCCTGGGGGAGCGAGTATACAGACGTTGCAACGTAGACACGGCAGAACGCTGTGAGATGGGCGACTTGGGAAAACGCCACGGACGCTGAAGGTGGCGGGACCAGTGAGGAACATAGCAGACACGCGAAAGCTCATGACGGACACTAACCTTCCTCTCTCAGGCCCCAAGACCATCCTGGGCCACTCTGTAGTGATCCATGATGAAAACGCCCCCAAACACAGAGGAGACAGGATGGCGTGTTCTGGGTGAGTATGTTGGGGTGGGTGGGTGGATGGTTAAATGTGAGGGTGTGTGTGGGTGGTTGAATGTGGGTGTGATAATGAATGGGTGCGTGAGTAAAGTGGGTGGATGGGTGGTTGGGGGAGGTGGGTGGGTGGATGGGTGTGAGGCTGGGTGAGTGAGTGGATGGTTAGATGTGAGGGCGGGTGGGTATGACGAAGGTAGATAGATGAAAGTGGGTGTAAGGATATATGAATGGGTGGGGTGTATATGCGAGTGTGTGGGTGGAGTGGGAGAGATAGAATGTCTCCCCTTCTCCTCCTTAATCTTCCCCTCACTCCCATACAGGATCTACCGCCGGTTTCGCCACAAGGGCGTAGTCAACAAGTGGCACGCGACCCGAGGAGCAGGCAAGGTGGAGGGCAAGGTCGAGTTTATCCAGGAGTCTGAGTTTGACCTCACCAACACCGAGGTCGAGCTTCGGGGTCTGGAGGCCACTGCAAATGGATACCACGTCCACATGGTGAGGTTTACCTTTAGTTCAATGTTAGTTTACTTCAAGTTGCTGGTTTACCGTTGGTTAAAAGCAGTTTATATTTAGGATACCTTTAGTTTACATTTAGTTTGCCTTTAATATACCTTTAATTTACCCTTAACATACCCCCCTCAGGTACCTATAGAAGACGAGCTGGAGTTCCCGTGTGAAGCCTCCACCACCCTGGGTCATTATAACCCCCTCAACGTGACCCCTTCTGAGTCTCCGACACCCGCCACTGGCACTCATGACCAGTACGAAGCTGGTGACCTGGCGGGGAAGTATGGCACTCTGGAGGGCCTCAACCGGAAGCGTGGTGAATATAATGACACTAATCTGCAGCTGTTTGGCGCAACTTCCATTATGGGGCGGTCCATCGTCATCCACAAGAAACATAAGAATGCCAGGTGAGGTGCTGGTGACTGTTGGTGACTATGTAGACAGTGTGACTGTTGGTGACGGCTGATCGTTTGTGTGTGTGTCTATTTGTGTCGAGTGAATGTGTGTGTGTGTGACTGTGTCACCTGTATGTACTGTAAATGTGTGTTGTGTGTAACTCTGTGTGTGTATGACTGTGACTGTGGGATGACTGTGATTGTACGTGACATACGTGACTGAGGATAACTTTACATAACTGTATATGACTGTTCATGACTGTGCTTGACTTCATATTACATTATTGAAATATGCAAAATCATCGTCATCTTCACTAACCCTACGCCCTTCTCCTCCCTACGGCGCCTTCTACAGGTGGTTCTGTGGCAGTATTGGCTGGGGTTACTTCTCCTGAAGCTCGCCAGGTCTCGGCCATTGCTTCCTTCCATAACCCCCAGGGATATGCGTGGGGTTACATCAGGATGGTGAGTAATTACTTTGTTGGTCTCTCTCACAATCGACTCCCGCAACCGTAACATTAGAATCAAATCCTATGTAATCATGAGTATTGAGTTCAAGGTCGTGCGCTTAATAGAATCAAACACCCAATTACCGATCCTCATAACTTCCCCGATAACCAAAACAAAACGTCCCATAAGCTGTAAAGACTCGTCTGTGAGCTGCCAGGACGAGCTGTAAAAAGTCTAATTCTGAGTTATGTAGAGAAAGAGAAAGTGACATACCCTGGAGGAAGAGTTTATTAAACTATTTCTTCTTCCTTGCTTAAGGCGGAGTCGTGAGTGTTGCCGTCTTTAAGTTAGGTTAGGTTACAGTAGGTTTGAATAAGTTACGTTAGATTAAGTTAGGCTTGGTTAGATTAGAATAGGTTAGGTTAGCGTAAGGATGGGGTGCCTAATCTTCACGTGGTCACGACGTCAGTATTCTCAAAGGTGTGAGAATAAATCTTGCGACTTAAATTTAATAAAGACATTAAGGCGAAAATTCCCATAGACTCTTATGTTTAGCTTCACAATAAACTCATTTAAATTAAACTTTGTCATTGAATAAACTTTTAAAGCAAACTTTTTATTCTTAAGAATTATTCCCGTTCAGAATTAAGTTTACCTTTTAACATTTAATTGTTTTTAAAGAATATATTCCTCTCATTAATTCAATTTAAGTATAAACCCCTTTAAGTTTACCTTTTTATTAAGACTAAAAGACTAAAAGACTTTACAACAACAAAAATACAGTGAAATATTCCCAGCACTCTGCAGTAATGTATTCAAACGTTTTCTTTCCCACACACACACACACACACACATTTCTTCTACCAATTCCTTTTTACAACCCATTTCGTCGGTAACAATCTCGAGTCATGTCACAGTGTAGTTACGGGTTGTTAAGGTCAACAGGAAAGTAGTTTGACTACAGTGTGTCTTGCGTCAAAGTCGTGGGAACTGAGAGAACTGAATGATGGTGGTGCTTCTGTCTCTAAGGTAATGGCGACATGGGAGGGTGGTGATGGTCTCTCTCTCTCTCTCTCTCTTCGCTGTGTAATAAGTCCGAGGATTTTATAGTTGTTGAGTGACAAACAGACAGACAGACTGATAGTTATGTAGACAAAAAATATTAAGAGAGAGAGAGAGAGAGAGAGTTAATGGGTCTCGAGGTTGAAGTCACTTGTTCTCTAAGGCCGAGCATTAGCCAACAGGCCAAAGAGGTAACAATAGGGGTCAAGTCTCGGGTCACACTCACCGCCATTTTGCATTATGTCATTTCTTTCTGTCCGTACCATAAACACAGCACCAGAGGAGGCAATCATCAGCGCCTGGCGTTACTTGGCCTCTCACTCCCGTCACTGTAGGAAGGGCGGTATGAGGTGTACTCAGCCCTTGAGAGAACCCGTCCTTTTAATCCTTTAAGGTCGACCTACATCCAGATTCTCGACTCTGGTAATCTTTCAAGGTCGACCTCCACCCAAATGTTCGAGTTCGACTTAGAGGTTACATTTATTGTTTTCTCACCAACAAGACGTAAGAAAACGCATCTAATTTATGGTAATCTCAGTAGAGATTTGTGATATCCACCTTCCTTTGTGTAGTCTAACAGATTGATATATACGTGTTGTCATATATACAGTTAACGAAAACATATACTGTTAGTTACTCATAAGAGAATATGTAGATATATTATTAAGGAGAAGTATAACTTAAGATAAATTAAGAATGCGTCTGAGCGTAGAAAGTGGTTATTTTTTTTAGATAACTTTCACTCGAATGTAAATGTCATAGTCAGTGGCCGTTCGTCCCCTGGTGGCCAGAGGGGAACTACTGCGTGTAAACATGGCTGTCTGGATCACCCTGTTACCTGTTTATATTTAATTGGATGATTTTTTGTTCTTAGTATCTTTACCTGCGTCAGTCAGCTATATAGATTCTAGTCTTGACTGAGTGACTGATAATGACTTACTGACTGAGAGGAATTGAACTTAAACGTCTATAATCTTTCGTAAACACTACAAGGTGATGTTGATGGCTAAGATGTACACACACATACACACATTACTGATTTCAAAAAAACAAACAGATGATGCCTAATAGAAAACCTTTGAAGTTAATGACTGTAATTACTCCCAAGTGAAGCTGTGTAGAGAAACTCACTCACTCGTGTGTGTGTGTGTGTGTACAGCCGGAGGTAAAAAAAAATAAACAAATGAAGGCTGTGTTGCGCACGGCTGCCCTCACACGTTTTAGAACAGTCTCTTGTAGTCGAAATAATTACTGGTCCTGATGTGAAGAAAGAACAACACACACTCACTCCTTTGGCACTTTGAGATATCATATTTAATGTCTCTCTCAGTTCTGGCACCTTGAGACATCTCCACTTAACACTTATTTCAGTTTTAATATCTCTTATGATTTGGGTGACTTACTCAAGACGTGAGAGGTTGAGATTTTGTCTCCTTGATTCTGTGAAACTTGATTAACTTAACTTGATTGCTTGATTGTCTCTTATTTATCTCACAGGTAAAGTTTAATTAACCTTTAGATAGGGGCGGACAGGTGAAAGTGATGGTGACTGTATAGAGGAAAGTTAGTGGTCGGATAGAGGAAAGTTAGTAGCCTGATAGGGGGAAGTGACAGTAGCCAGAGATTGGAAAGTGACAGTAGCCAGAATGAAGAAAGTAGCAGTAGCCAGAGAAGAGGTGTTGATAGATGGATGAAGAGAAAGTCACAGACAGATACAGCAAGACACAGACTCTAACAGTGGGTAGAGTTACACTTAAAAAAGGCTCCATTTTCTCTCAAATATTTATAATAGAAACGACAACTTTAACGGAGGTTTATGGGATAACTATTGTAAACAGTGTGATCGTGACTTAGCATCGAAAGAGAGAGAGAGATAGAGTGAGTTAGACCAAATGTATTGTATATATATATATATATATATATATATATATATATATATATATATATATATATATATATATACTTATTTTAATCCATATAACACGCGGACTTTGAACATATAAATATATATATATATATATATATATATATATATATATATATATATATATATATATATATATATATATATATATAGAATCCTACGTTAGGTATTTAAACACGGCCATCACCTTAGATATATTTCTCTATATCCATTTTGCTAGATTAAGTTAAGTTCATTCATATTTGGATACAAAGATTCTAAAACACACGACTTGGCACTAATATATGTCCTACAGTTACCATACACCATTTACCTACTGTGTTCCCTTTTACCCGCTGTTTCACTGTTTTTCCAGCGTGTTGTAAATGGCGATGTGTTTATCATCTAATTTCACTTAAGCTCTTCCGTTTTGAGTCTTGTAATGAATATATTTTTTTCTGCCATTGTTGTTGTTAGGGGGGGTAAAACTTATTCCCTTTATGATGGTATTGTTAGTAATGGTGTCATTTATTGTTGGCAGGTCTATAGAGAGATGAACAGTATTATATTCTTGGTGGTTGTCGGTGCTGGGAAGACATTGTGGGGGTTATTGTTGTTTTTAAGTGCAGGATCCCTTGTGTGTGTGTGTGTGTGTGTGTGTGTGTGTGTGTGTGACGGATATCTCTTAAGTCTCTCCTAGCCAGGTCTCTCTCTGACTATCTCATCATCTCTCTTCCTCGCCATCTCTCTCCCTAATCATCTCCCTCTTATCTCTCCCTCAGCGTCAATTGATTTACTTCGATGGTTCCTTCGATGAGACGTTTATAGAGGTCAGCCTTCGTCATCCAGGCACCAATAACCGCAATTTGGTGAGTATTGCCCATTTCTTGCCTCTTTTATGCCCATTTTTTACCCTCAATATACCCTCTTGCCCTTTAATGTATATCCCCTATCTTTTTGTTCCTTACCTGCCTTCTCTTGCCCTTTATCTGCCTACCGTCATTAGCCCTCACGTGCCCTCTTTAACCTTTACCTGTCCTCATTAGCCCTCACCTGCCCTCTTTAACCCCTCACCAGCCCTCTCTAAATCCCTCACCTCTCCTCACCTTTCCAGACACGTCGACACAACTGGTCAGTCTACGTCAACCCCGTTGGAGTAGACGCCGGGGTGAAGTTCTTCCAGTCGAGGTGTGTGGCTGCTGGCTACCGCTGGAACCCTTACCTCATCCACCTCGCCTTCCCCAACGATGTGAGTGACGCCTGCAGTATCATTTCGTGTGTGTGAATGACTGAGTGACAAGCTGGGAGTGTGTGAGTGGCTGAGTGACATGGTGGGAGTGTGTGAGTGGCTGAGTGACATGGTGGAAGTGTGTGAGTGGCTGAGTGACATGGTGGGAGTGTGTGATTGGCTGAGTGACATGATAGGAGTGTGTGAGTGACTGAATGATATGCTGAGAGTGTTTGAGCGAGTGAGTAACATACTAGGGAGTATTTATCATGACTATCACCCCAGATAAACTAATATTTCACCCCATAGACCCCAGAGATGTTAATATCTACCCCCATACACCCAAAGAGATAATCTACCCCTATGTCCTCAGAGATATAATCTACCCCTTATACCCTATGAGAACTAATCTACCCATAAATTTCAAAGAGATAATCTACCTCCATACCCCCAGAGAGACTACTACGAGCGTGAGTGTGGGCCAGAGGTTCCCCTGAGATGTGATGTCGGTGATCTATCAGGTCGCCTCGGCACCATCGACGTGGGAGACAAGAGATATGTCTTTGTTGACCGGAACCTTCCCCTGTGTGAGTAAATAAAATCAACAATTACATCAAGTAAACAAGAGAACCACATAAACAAGTTAATAATAAACAACAACAATAATAATAATAATAATAATAATAATAATAATAATGGATTAAGAATATTTTGTCTTTTCTACTTTATTTTATAATTTTTACCTCCCCTTACATCCCTACAACATCCCTCTCACCCCTCTCACAATCCTCTCAACCCTCTCACACCCCTCTCACCCCTCTCACACCCCTCTCATCCCCCTCAGCTGGTCCTCACGGCATCATGAACCGGGCCATGATCATCCACCGAGAGAACGCCGGGGTGGAGAGGTTCGCCTGCGCCAACATTAGACCTGATGATGACATTATTAAGTGGGTCATTGTTAGGAAGACGCCCAAGTTTACTGCGTGAGTATGACGGAGGCTTTGTGGGGGGAGGAAAGGAGTGGAGAGCAGATGAGGATGGAGGGAGGGGAGGAAAAGATTCGCTATAGATAGAGAGAGAGAGAGAGAGAGGGTAGAAACTGAAGGAGATACACAGAATGAGAAACAGAGAGAGAGAGAGAGAGAGAGAGAGTGGTAGAAATTGGAATAGGGGAGATACACAGAATGAGAAACAGAGAGAGAGAGAGAGAGAGAGTGGTAGAAATTGGAAGGAGATACACAGAATGAGAAACAGAGAGAGAGAGAGAGAGAGAGAGTGGTAGAAATTGCTGAAGGAGATACACAGAATGAGAAACAGAGAGAGAGAGAGAGGAGAGAGAAAGGGTAGAAATTGAAGGAGATACACAGAATGAGAAACAGAGAGAGAGAGGAGAGAGAGAGAGGGTGAAACAAGGAGATACACAGAATGAGAAACAGAGAGAGAGAGAGAGAGAGAGAGTGGTAGAAATTGGAAGGGAGACACAGAATGAGAAACAGAGAGAGAGAGAGAGAGAGAGAGGGTAGAAATTGAAGGAGATACACAGAATGAGAAATAGAGAGAGGAGAGGAGAGAGAGAGAGGTAGAAATCTGAAGGAGATACACAGAATGAGAAAGTCAGAGAGAGAGAGAGAGAGAGAGTGGTAGAAACTGAAGGAGATACACAGAATGAGAAATGCAGAGAGAGAGAGAGAGAGAGAGTGGTAGAAATTGAAGGAGATACACAGAATGAGAAACAGAGAGAGAGAGAGAGAGAGAGAGTGGTAGAAACTGGAAGGAGATACACAGAATGAGAAACAGAGAGAGAGAGAGAGAGAGAGAGTGGTAGAAATTGAAGGAGATACACAGAATGAGAAACAGAGAGAGAGAGAGAGAGAGAGAGTGGTAGAAATTGAAGGAGATACACAGAATGAGAAACAGAGAGAGAGAGAACTAACTCATATCCCCCCCCACCCCCCTCAGCACCACCTTCATGGAGGACCTAAGAGAGGTGTTGGGGGCGCCAGAGTGGTATTTGGCCGCCGACCTCCAGACTGTGTCGTTCTCCGCTGACCAGCAGTGTGTCACCTTCGTCATCCACTTCATGGGTAAGTCCCTTCACCCCACCACCACGTACCCTCCACTACGTACCCCCCACCACCACGTACACCCCCACCACCACGTACCCCATCACTACGTACCCCCACTACGTACCCCCCACCACCGACGCGTACCCCCACCACCACGTACACCCCACCAACACCACGTATCCCCACCACCACGTGCCCCCACCACCACGCACTCCCCACCACCACGTACCCCACCACCACGTAAATTTCAATTACGTACCCCCACCACCACGTACCCCACCACCACGTAACCCCACAGGATCTTTTGTGTAATAAATGTAACCCCACCACGCACTTCTACAGGACCCCAGGCCGGACAGTTGGAGCTTGACTTCTCGCGTCTCCTAGCTGGGGGGATCCTGCCCTCTCCGACCATCTCCATCAGGGGCGTCTACTCGGATCCTAAGCGACCCACCAAGGTGCCCTACAGGACCTGTGGCGGCCTGGAGGAGGACGACATCTTGGGCGATAAATGTGAGGCTTGTCGTGTTCTGTATAAAGTTCGTCTCTTTTGGTCATGTCGTTTTTAAAAGTATAGATGGTCAGTTCTGCTGGTAACACTCGGGATAAAGCAACGAACAGACAGATAGATAGATAGATAGATAGATGGATAGATAGATGGATAGATAGATGGATAGATAGAGAGATTCCTAACACATTCTCCCCCCAAATTTGATCTTGTTATCTTTGTCTTCACAGCTGACGCGTCTTGGTGGAACGTATTAACTGGGAACCTCGACGACGTTGGCTACACTGGTGATGGTAGCGGATCTTCCTCCTCCTCCTTCATGAGTCGCCCCTCCTTCCTCCACCTCCTCCTCCTCCTCCTCACAGTCACCCTACACTAACCTCCTCCTTCATGAGTCGCCCCTCCTCCTCCTCCTCCTTCTCCTCCTCCTCCTTCTCACACCTTCCCACAGGTAAATAATACCGGTATATCCTGTCATTAGCCATGTATACATTATTCATCTCTTTATTATACATCATTTATCATACATTCTCGTTTATACTTGTATTTACAGAAGACTGTAAATATATTACCTGTATAGAGAAGCTTACTTATATTATCTAGTTAATTAGTATTGTATCACCTGTACACTATTATTGACTGTATAATTTATTCTTTAAATAAGTAACTATCAATTATTTGCTTATACTTACACTTATTTGATCATTAGTTGATGAGAAGTAAATATAAGTAACTGATATACCTGGTGAGTTTATTTACAATTTATTCATAATTCTGAGATGTATTCTAAAACTGTGTAATACAAAATTGTGTAAAAATGTAAAACAAAATTAGATTTATATTATTTTTTCCGGATTTTTTATATATTTACACTTGTTATTGAGTAAATCACGTCCTAGCAGCTCTAATGTAAACACAGAATATTACTGTACTAATAAATTGATAAAATTATGATTTTATTATTGTGTATTAAACCTGAATATATTATTGTTGTTTTTGTTGTTGTTCTTTTGGATGTACTGATGAAGTTAATCTCTCTCTCTCTCTCTCTCTCTCTCTCTCTCTCTTTTCAAGTGTTGACTGAGGACAGGTAAGGTTAATATATGAAGTAATCAATACCTAAGGCCAACTCTCAGGTGACCACACATACACACACACAAACACACACACACACACACACACACACACACACACACACAACACTATTCACTCAATTCTCGCTTCAGTATCGTCTCGTCTTAAAATTAACCAATTATTTCCTGCTAAGCATTGTCGTCATGAACTGGTGTAAGTAAAATCACCCAATAAGAGCGTTGTTTAGCCATGACGTCTGTGATGACGTCATATGAATTGATCAAAAGCAGCGAGTCCTGGTAATGACGTCACGGACATTAACTAATCGGAGTGTTCATACTTTATTTCCAGGCCAAGATTAGTTTTTGTAGTGATTAATGATCGGAAATGATTGCATATACAGTATATATACACTATATATGTATAAATTCAAGGTAATGTATATATGCTTTTCTCAATAAGGAAACAACTTAAGCGCAAAATATTGATCTCCACGCCCCTTGTTATCTTATATTTCCACCTAGCATCTGTGACGTGTTGGTATTTTACCTGGGACCTGTCACCAGAGAGAACTGTTGGCCCCAGACAGTCAGAAGGCACAACAAGAGGTTTTACAGTCAGTTATCACCGTCGCTACAACACTCAACACTGCCAGTCTCAACAGAACAAGATATAACTCCTTCCACTCTTAAGACTTCAGCTCAGTACCTCACAGTTACTGGCAGGGGAAGGGTTGTGTACTGGCAGGGGAAGGGGTGTGTACTGGCAGGGGAAGGGTTGTGTACTGGCAGGGAAGGGGTGTGTACTGGCAGGGGAAGGAAGGGTTGTGTGCTGGCAGGGGAAGGGTTGTGTAGGGAAGGGTTGTGTACTGGCAGGGGAAGGGTTGTGTACTGGCAGGGGAAGGGTTGTGTACTGGCAGGGGAAGGGTTGTGTACTGGCAGGGGAAGGGTTGTGTACTGGCAGGGGAAGGGTTGTGTACTGGCAGGGGAAGGGGTGTGTACTGGCAGGGGAAGGGTTGTGTACTGGCAGGGGAAGAGTTGGACGTCACGATAGGAGATAATTTCGCTTTGTTCCATTGATTTTTTTAATTAGAAAAAAAAAGTGTATCCAGCGCCATCTGTTGGTAGTGAAACGAACCAAGAACCTCTCAACAGTGACCCATAATGTAGTGTTGTGTTGTGTTGTGTTGTGTTGTGACAGCCAATGAACTAACCTAAGAGAGACTGATTGGTTGCTGTTCCTGATTCAAGCTCCGCCCACGCTGATGGCTGACACAACACCACTACTTCTTGAGTCACTGTTGAGGGTTTCCTGGTTCGTTTCACTACCAACAGATGGACCTGGATACACCTTTACACACATTCTTTTAATTTATTACTTATTATTACCTTATTATAGTTAATTTTAATAATACATGGCATGGTTTGTGTGTGTGTGTACGTATAGGTGTGTGTGTGTGTATGTGTATGTGTATATATGTGTGCATGTATAGGTGTGTATGTGTGTGTGTGTGTGTGTGTGTGCGTTTGTGTGGACGAACAAATGAAACACTGGTATGCGGTCATCGATCAACGCGCCCCGACATACATAACCACACACGGACAAAACCAGGTCATCACCCCCTACCAACCACCACCTCCTTCTGTAGTAACTTTACCTCCTTAACTACAGCAAGAGACACTTCGCCGGGAGAACCTCTGCCAGCCTCATGTTAGCGGCGGCGGAGGTGGTAGTGTGTGTGTGTGTAGTTGCTAAGACAATATTGTGGTCCCATTTCATATCGCGTCTCTCTCTCTCTCTCTCTCTCTCTCTCTCTCTTTCTCTCTCTCTCTCTCTCAACACAACGAGCTAATCACTAATATACATACATATATACATACATACATACATACATACATACATAGATGGCATGTGTACTTCGTCACTAATACACACAAAAATAAAAAGACAGCCACCCAGAAAGTCAGACACACAGACATTTGGACACAATACCTCTAGACAAAATACCATTGGACAAAACAACACCGGACAAAAGACCACCATGTACATACAGGGTATGTATGGAGCGGGTGTGTGTGTGTGTGTCTGGGTGTGTGTATGTGTTCCGGTATCCCTGAGTTACGGTCCCTCACTGAACAACTCCCAGTAACCAGTTTCCAGTGCGCATCCTCTACTCCGCATGATATGACTGCCACCTCTCACCAAACACTTCTCTACCTCCGTTTTTTACATCCATTCACACACACAAAGACAAATAAAGAATTTTTGTTTTGCATATATCTTATATTAAATATCTAAATAAACCATAATAAATTATATATTACTTTATATTTTTGATGGAGAAAAAGATAAGTTAATTAAGTATATGGCAACTGAGATATCTTAATTTGAGGGGGGCAGGAATCCAGGACGGTCATGGAATCAGTAGAATCACTAGTGCATACGTCGTCGTGGAGGGAAGATATACGTATCTACGTCTCCGCGTTTCCACCATTGTAAAAACACAAAAGTAATCCTTAAAACAATAATACAACTTCAAATCTGACTTAAGTGTCGAACAAAAGCTTCTGAAGGTGTGAAATTTCATGTGACGTGATAACTGTTGGTGAACATTATACTAACTACAAATGCTGTTATCGTTCGCAAATTAACACAGCATTATGCCTTTTAATATTAGACGAAACTCCACTGAACATTTTCTCGTCGGGCCTAATAACCTGTTAAGTGAGGTGGAATTTTGTCCCAACTTCTATGTATATAATACCTGTACTAATTATATATAATTATCTCTATATAATTACTCGAGAAATAATTAACTTCAAGACATATGTTAGTATACAGTATAAACACACACACACACTTATACACACGTATATATTTCCACATATATTCACCTTACAGAGACAGTATAAACACACACATGTGTAGGCTATATACATAGGCATGCACTTACACTTGTCCTCAGCACACATACACAATACTGTATACACATGTATACATACACAAGTATATGTACGGTACACACGCATACTCTCAACACGCAGACACAATATACAATATACATTATCAAATTGGACATTGATTAAACGTCTCATGTGTGTATTAAGATGAGTCACAACGAGGGTGTAGAAATTCCTCCATGTACACGTGTCATCGTTTGAAGCACCATGGTGTTATTTTGTGTACGTACATGTGTATGTAATAGTTTAGTATATTCACACACACACATGTAAATGATAACGATCAGTAATTGCTCATTAGTCTTGAATAATGAATAATGTGCTCGGATAACAGGTGATGTGCGTGACCAAGTGAAGCGTTGCTCTCTCTCTCTCTCTCTCTCTCTCTCTCTCTCTCTCTCTCTCTCTCTCTCGTCAGAATTCTTAACTTAGAGCATTTTTATCTATTTACAGTGCTTGTCGCTCTATCTAAACCTTCAAAAGAGAGTTTAATATCCTAAGACAACACTGAACAAACAGTATTTTTCTAAATTATTTTATATTTTTGACAAGAACATAGAAAAACGCATCTATAAATGAAGAAACATTATGGGAGGAAATAGTAGTAATGAATATAGAAAAAATGAAAACAACGGAGAAACAAAAGAGACAGTGAGTAAAGACAATTAAAGAAAATCTGGAAGAGGTATGGCTACAATTGATAGAAAACGAAAATGAGATTAGTGACAGAAAATAAAAAACAAAGAATGACAGACTAATGTATTATTAACTTGTTCCTGTGCGTAATGTCGATAGAGAGAGAGTCTGACAGATATAGGCACAGTGAAGGTTATCGTCGATGGAAATGGTAGAAGTCAGAGGGAACAAAACGAGTAATACAAAACCGCCATAACAGCAGCAGATAGAAAACAGCAGCTGTAGCAAATGCAGTAAACAAGCAGCAACAGAAACGAAGACACAGGAAACAAATAATAACGACAGACTAATGTATTATTAACTTGTTCCTGTGCGTAATGTCGATAGAGAGAGAGTCTGACAGATATAGGCACAGTGAAGGTTATCGTCGATGGAAATGGTAGAAGTCAGAGGGAACAAAACGAGTAATACAAAACCGCCATAACAGCAGCAGATAGAAAACAGCAGCTGTAGCAAATGCAGTAAACAAGCAGCAACAGAAACGAAGACACAGGAAACAAATAATAACGAAATCTTCACTAGCTAACAGCAGTAATCGGAACGCCAAACCTACACTACACATCAGCAGAAACAGCAGTAATCGGAACGCCAAACCTACACTACACATCAGCAGAAACAGCAGTAATAAAAACCAACAGCAACAAAACCTCACAGCCATTAACAGCAAAAAAGACACAAGAGAAAATTAGATGCTGCAACGGTACTGGCATTAACAGCAGTATTAAGCAGTAATTAGGAACCACAAGCAAGTGAGGCAGTAAAGCATCATTAGGGCCTCAAACAGCGTGGTGGAGGAGGAGGTGAGGTGAGGTGAGCATGGGGTGTGGGGTGAGCGTGCCTGAGTCCACCACCCCAGAAGTACCACAGGATGGGTACTTCAAGGAATCTCTCAATGGCGCTGGTCTTATGCCCCCAGTAAGTATAAATATTTGTATTGTAAACCGTAAATACTTTTAATATACCCCTAAAACACCTATATTATACGATCATTACCAGTAACACACTCTCAGCACCCCTGTTACTATGTCTAACACACACACACACACACACACACACACACACACACACACACATACATACACCTGTAATACACAAATATACAAGCTTTCTTCCTTCGGGGTATGGCTGGGTGCGGAGTCACCTTGTTATTGCACCAGATTCTATACTAATCAAAATGGCGACGAAAATACGCTTAGACTCCACCCTTTGTGTGTTTGTGTGTGTGTGTGTGTGTGTGTGTGCGTGTGCTAGAATAATTCCTAAGTTATATCAAGTATCGTTGAGTGTTGACATATACAGTCTACCTGACTATATCATCAACTCTCTACTTATTTCCTTTCCCTTCTTATCTTTGCATGCCATCACTGTTTACCATCTTCCTTGTTATCGCTCAAATATCATCCTTGTCTCCCTTGCTATTTTCTTACTTAATACCATAATTTAGCGCCATAACTACCATTGCTACCATGCCCCCTCTACCATGACCTGTCCGTGGGTGTTGCAGCAGGTATGTGACGGCCGCAGTACCATAATTCTTACTTCCGAGGATACCATTACCGTCGTCACCTCCCCAACAGTAGTCCGAGCAGCGCGGCTTGTGTATACCCAGGTACTGTGACGCCTTCCCTCCTACTCTCCCTTACTCCTTCCCTCCCTTATACCCACCCTTAAACGTTCCCTTTCTCCTCTTCATTCCCCCTTCTTCCCTCCCTACCTCCATCCCTTCTTTCCTCTCTCTCTCTCTCCATCCTTACTCACTTTTTTCTTCCCTCCTTCCTTCCCTCCCCTAATTCCTCCCTCTTTCCCACCCTTTCACGCACGTTTCGGCCACTTGGTAGGGGCCGAAATGTATTTGACTAAATCGTCCCGCAGAATGTGTGTCACTATGCCTCGCACACCCTTACCCCGCAAGTCGCGTAGCAACACCAAAACAACCGCACGATAGTATGCTCTGTTACGTCCGGATTCATGTACAGTACAAATCAAATCCGGATTTCATTTACAAGTAGACGAACGCTTGAAGACTAGTTGACGTCAAATGTTTATTGTATGTTGTTGTGAATATATTACGTATATCGTCATCAAATACCAACGTACACAATATTTGTAAACAGTAAGTTGAAAATACATCATTATTTACGTAGATAGAACTCAACACTTCACCTTATTGTAGATGTTGGAGTAGTAAATAAACACAAACATAAAGTCGTGTTCACTAGAGCTTAGAGTCATACGTACAGGTTTATGTACACGATAATACTATAGTCCTTAGAGTCAACTGTCCATTTGAAGGTCGACTGGTCTAGATGAATTGTTTAAGACAAGGCAGTGGACGCAGCACATACCAGGCCAGAACACAATGAGTACCTACACCTGTGTTACCTGTAAGACACCTGTGTTATCGTCTGGACGCCTGCTGTTATCTTCTGAACACCTGTTGTTAGTCCTCTCTCTCTCTCTCTCTCTCTCTCTCTCTCTCGTCTAAGGCAGACTCAGTTAACCTTTCTATCCGTGTTGCTGACGTCAATGTTCTGCTCTCTATGAGAGATAACTTTTGCACTGACATTTTACCTCTCTCTCTCTCCCTCTCTCTCTCTCTCTCTCTCTCTCTCTCTCTCTCATTTATCATGTTACCTTAAAATACGACATTCGCTATATTAGGATCACTGCTAAGGGTGTCGTAGATAGACTGGTAGACTGGCATGGTAAATAGACTGGTAGACTGGTATGGTATATAGACTGGTAGACTGGTATGGTTGATAGACTGGTAGACTGGTATGGTAGATAGGGTGGGAGACTGGTATGGTTGATAGACTGGTAGACTGGTATGGTATATAGACTGGTAGACTGGTATGGTAGATAGACTGGTAGACTGGTATGGTTGATAGACTGGTAGACTGGTATGGTTGAGACTAGAGTAGATTGGTAGGTAGATAGACTGGTAACTGGTAGAGATAAAGACTGGTACTGGTAGCCATAACTGACTCCTGTGATCTTGGGTTACTGGTAGACTGAGTAGACTGGTAGACTGGTATGGTATCTGGTAATATGGTGACTGGTAGACCTGGTAACTGACACACACACACACACACACCGGGAGGAAGAACGGAAGGAATAGAGAGAAGGAGGGAAGAAGGAGAGAGGAAGCGAGAGAGGGAGGGAGAAAAAGATGAAGGGAAGAAAGAATGAAAGGAAGGAGGGGATGAAGAAGAATGGCGCGGTTAAGGGAGTACTACTGTTTTGTTCTGTGTGTGTGTGTGTGCTGTGTATAATTACTGTATGTATGTATGTATACAGTATGAGGTCGATTTTGTGAGTATATGAGGTAAATATTGCGAGCAGATTCCACAGTGAACTTTGCCTTCAGAAGGTCTTATGAATAATTGACTTTAGACGTCACACTACCACGGTTGACTTGTGTGTGTGTGTGTGTGTGTGTGTGTGTGTGTGTGTGTGTGTGTGTGTGTGTGTGTGTGTGTGTGTGTTAAAGGAATCCAGAGGTAGACAAACACACAAACAAAAAGAGAAGCAAAAACTGACAAGGTGACAATTGAAGACGTAGATGTATAATGAATAAGAGAGAGAGAGAGAGAGAGAGAGAGAGAGAGAGTCACGACCACATCATCCAATTATCCTCACCTTTGTTGTCTGTGATTTAAAGTAGCAAATTATTTTCTTATATTCTTCCTGTGCTTCTTGCTTTATCTGTTATGCCGTGTTCTTCACCCTCAAAAGATCACCTCTAATATCAAAGTCATGTATAGAGACAATATAGTCAGTTGTATACTTGTGATAGGCAGATATATAGTTAATAAAGACAGGTATACTAGACAGGTGGAACAGCTTAGGGGGGGTTTCACTATTGCTTAATTAATAGGTATGCTATAATTATTTCTCCTTTAGTCTTAATTATTTTCTAAGTTGAGTATTTCTGTGTTTGTTGACATGTATATACTGTATATATATAAATAAATAAACACACACACACACACACACACACACACACACACACACACACACACACACACACACACACACACACACACACACACACACACACACACACACACACACACACACACACACACACACACACACACACACACACACACACACACACACACACACACACACACACACACACACACACACACACACACACACACCCATACTAATTTCCCATTGGTGTCCATCGGTGCCGGAGGAGGTGTTGGTGACGGTGACGGAAGAAGCGGTGGATAAACCCAAGACAGGGGAGGAGGGCGCCTTCGAGCTGCCGGAGTCTGAGTTCGAGGATGGTCGTCTGGGTGTCATTGTAAGTTTTGTAAGATCATTCGTTCCCTGCTGTGCCGCACACTTTACACACCCGCCACCAAGGTAAGGTAGGAAGGTATTGTACGTCTGGCACCTTCTTTAGGGCTCGTTGGAGAATTGTGTTTAATGTTTTTCCAATATATAAATAACTAGGTAAACAGAGACCGAAGGATTGAGGTAATGATTGAGATATAAAAAAGGTAAACTAAGAGAGAGAGAGAGAGAGAGAGAGAGAGGGAATTAATACCTTGACGTGACTGTCTCTCCAGAAGGAACCGTTCTGGTAGCATTAAACGAACGAATATCAGGTATGTATAGAATTTATTATTTATTTATCAAGAGTCATTCCTTCACGAGCTCGACCCACCAGCTGGCTTATCACCACGACTCCTCTAGCTATCCTTCATAACCTCCATGTTTATAAGGATATCTAGGTCTCCTATTAATTCCTCCAGGCCCAGGCAGATCCTCCAGGAGGGTGACTCACTACCCCTCGCCATCAATGGGTCGATATTAAAAAAAAAATTGCTCTTTGATTTGAGGGATGATATATGTGTGAAGGAACTATCACGATGTAAACAAACAATAGAGGGAGCTGGAGTATAATATACTAGCCTCGTGTATCGTTTATCATGCTCGCATAGTCCAGTAGACGCCTGGTGGGGTGAGTAATGAACATTCATCAGTATTACAACACTACGCTTCTCCATTATTTACTGAGAAACTCCGGCAGTGACCTGGAAATAGAATAAGTCATGGTAGTAATGGCGGAACTTTTATAGTCCTGCATCGATTACCGCCATAACATGTCGCGTATACTGCTGGTGGTAAATGACGATAAATAGAGTGTATATCTTTGCGTGTGTGTGTGTGTGTTCCTGTAGCAGACGATAACAAGGACGTGTATATTTCGCCACAGGAGGCAGAGGCGATAGAGAACCTGTCGGTACTTGACCGTCGAGGAACACTACTGTGATGACGAGTTCCCAGCACACTACTCCTCCCTCTTCTTCTCCTCCAGGATCGAGGTCGACGTACAGTGGAAAAGACCCTTTGTGAGTTTTATCTCTCTCTCTCTCTCTCTCTCTCTCTCTCTCTCTCTCTCTCTCTCTCTCTCTCTCTACATTGTCACCATCTTTCTGTTTACTTTAAGCTAAACCAAGCAGTGTCCATTTCTTCCTTATCTTCATCTTCTCACTTTCTATGACATAACTTTGTTTACCTTTTCTAATGCTCTCTCCACCATTTTCTATGTCATCATCACCATTTTCCCGTTTTCCTTGGACTACAATAAATCACCTAAGCTGTAAACGTTGTAAGTTAACATTCGTTTTTCTATAGGAGCTTCAGGAGGAGCCTCATCTGTTCGTGGACGGTGCGAGCAGGAGGGACGTGGTTCAGGGCGAGCTTAGTGACTGCTGGTTCCTCTCCTCCTGTGCCGCCGTCGCCAGGACCCCCAAGTTATTAGAGAGAGTTAGTGTTTATATATTACGTCATCATCCTTCAGGTGTGAAAAAAATATTCGAAACTAATTTGTCTTTTTTTCTGTTTATAAGATTATTGTCTTAACTTAACCCATGATTCAGGTGATCTCGTGGGCACTAACCTATAACCCATATCCATGACCCAAAACCTATCATAATCCATGCCCGCAGGTGGTACCCCCGGATCAGTCGCTGAAGGGGGAGGGATACACTGGGCTGGTGGTATGTAGGTTCTGGAGGTTTGGGGAGTGGGTGTTGGTCTGTGTGGACGACCGCCTCCCCACTAAGGACGGTCACCTCATCTTCGCTCGCAGCTCTGATCCCACCGAGTTCTGGGTGGCTCTGCTGGAGAAGGCATATGCTAAGTGAGTTATGACGAGACCTTTAGGATGGAGAGAGATAAAGTGAGAGAGTGAGAGAGAGACAGAGATGTGGAGATAGAGTGTATGAGCGAGTGTGTGTGTGTGTGTGTGTGTGTGTGTGTATGCGTGTGTGTGTGTGCGTGTGCCTGTGTGTGTGTGTGTGTGTAGAGTAAATGATGAAACGAATTGACACTCAGATCTGATTATCTGTCAATCATTTGCTTTTAATTTCTCCATCAAACTATCTATCAATTATTTATCTACCCATCTCTCCCGCCCTCCCTTCCTCTCTGACGATGACCTCTCCGACAGGCTCCACGGGTCGTACGAGGCCCTGGAGGGCGGACAGAGTATGGACGCTATGGTTGACTTGACGGGAGGCTTGGCTGAGAGGTTAGAAATAGCGGAAATGCCTGACAAGATGAAACTCTACAAACTCCTCAACAAAGCCTCCAAGAACGGCGCCTTCATCACCGCCTCCAGGAAGGTAATGGGTTCATGGGCAGGTGCTATGAGTTGAGCAGGTGTTATAGGGAGGGCAGGTGTAATGGGTTCATGGGCAGGTGTATGGGGAGGGTAGATGCTATGGGTAGGACAGGTGCTATGGGTAGGGTAGGTGTTGTGGGGAGGGGAAGTGTAGTGGGTTCATGGGCAGGTGTTATGGGTAGGTCAGGAATAATAAGCTTATGGGCAGACAATGTAAACAATAAACAACACATAGAAAAACATAATGCAAACAATAGATAAGAAGATATAATAAACAATAAACAATGTATAAAAAAACAAATAATAAATCCTGTACTTTTGTTTACTGTTTAAGTAACTTTATAAGAGGGAACAATATTTTATTAGGTTAGGTTAGGTTAGGTTAGGTTAGGTTAGGTTAGGTTAGGTTAGAGAGATCTCTGTACTTTTCTCTTTGTGTCTTTAGTTTTAATAAAGTTTTTTGTATCATTCAAGGTTGTTTTTACAGGAGTACTGCAGCAGTGTGAGAGACGAGAGTGTCCTACGAGCCTCTTGTTGTTAGTTGAGGTTTACTGTTGTGTTATGTTGAGCTTTTTACAGTATATATATGATCCATCTGTGTTGACATCTGATAAATGATCACGGTTTGTTTTGGTTCAGGTTAGAGTTATCTCTCTCTCTCTCTCTCTCTCTCTCTCTCTCTCTCTCTCTCTCTCTCTCTCTCTCTCTCTCTCTCTCTCTCTCATGCAGTAATCGCCAGCTTCGTGTCCCCCCTTTACAGAAAGATCAACCTCGACGTCTGCTGTTTCTTGAAGACGTAAGATTTACCATTAATGTGTCCCTCCACTCACCCCACGTCTCCTTCCACTCACCCATCTCCCTTTGCCACCCATCTCCTCCTCCACCTACCTTTCTTCCACGCACCCACCCATCCACCCCTCCTCCAACCACCCATCCCCTTCTAACCAGTTATTTCCCTTCCACCCACCCACTCACCAATCCCTCCTCCACCCATCCATCTCCTCCTTCTAACCACTTACTTCCTCTCCACCCACCTCCTCCACCCACTCGCCCTCACACTCACTAAGTAGATAACCTTGTACAACTGTTAATAAGCACAATAATCCTTCCTCATCTTTACGTCCCCGTCATTTATCATTCTTCGTGCTTCCTACATTCTTCCGTCCGGCCGTCCGTTTGACTCGTTTTGGAACTCAGTTTGACCCAGATGTATTGGCGGGAACGTAGATGATTTTCTGAGATTAATTGTTTATTTACTCTGTCCTCAATTCTTCGTCTTATTCCGTTATCTCTCTCTTCCTCTCTTTTGTCGGTAGCTGTGATGTTTATTCTCTCTCTCTCTCTCTCTCTCTCTCTCTCTCTCTCTCTCTCTTTCGGATAAACGATAAACAACTAATCAACCATTAATCTCACTTCTCCTTCATCATATTCTCTCTATTCATTGTTCAATTTGTTCATGTAAGTACTTCACGTTTTGTTCACATAGTTCCCCTTCTGTATTAATGTGTAGCTTAGTATCAATGTTCAATGTACAACTCTTTCCATTTTGTTCCAAGTAATAAATAGTTCATAGTTGTTGTTGATGTTCTTTCTAAATATTCTGTACCATTTTGTTCCATGTAGTTAGTGGGAGTTTAGCTGTACTTTAGTTCATTGTTGCTGTTCCGTTGAAATATTTGTTATCACTTTATTCCAATTTAGTTTTAGTTACTCGGTGTTTGATGTCAAGTAATGTGTTCCATGTGAATTGTTTCATTGTTGTGCCACTATTATAATCCTGATATTTCTTGTAATTCATTAGGGTAGTTCCACACACACACACACACACACACACACACACACACACACACACACACACACACACACACATTGTTCATTACTGCACCACGCTAAGTTTTGTTCCACGCCATCCCAGAACAAAACTTGAAGATATCCGCCAACGCTTTTAGTTCAAAGTCAACACTTGAAGACCTTTAGAAACACTTGGCGACCCATGACAGCACACTTGGAGACCTCTGCCAACAGTTAAATCTCTGACAACACTTGGATACCTCTGCTAACAATCTGCTCGAAGCAGAACCTTGTGATAACACTACCCTTGCTTGTAGTAAATGTCTCTGACCACCTTGGTGCTGGCCGTGATATTGACAGGGCGACTGGAAGATGTCCTACAAGACGGATGAACACGGACTAGTCGATGGCCACGCCTACACCGTGTCAGGTGTGGCCACTGTGTCTCACCAGGACATGGGACACGTCCATCTGGTGCGCGTTAGGAACCCTTGGGCCAACGGTGCTGAGTGGAACGGTGAATGGGCTGACAGGTACGTGTAAGAGACATTGCCGACCAGCTTATCGGTGAATGTTTAAGTCTATGGTTTATTCTTATTAAAGAAAACGAGTTTATATAATTTTCAATTAATTTTTATGGCTAACTATACTACAATATCGGATATCATTAATAACTGATAATAATTGATAATATGAGAAGAAATGTGTAATGAATAATAATAGTAATAACATATAATAAATAATAATAATTAATGTGAACTCTAGTGTAATATTATGATTGAAATATAACTTATAATGTTCTTGAAGTGGAAACTTATTAATCTTAAAATTACTCCTTTGCAACTCCCTTTCCTTTCTTCCTTCTCTTCCTTTTTCTCATAATTCCTCCCTTACTTCCCTCCGTGTTTTCTTCCTTCTTTTCCTTCCTTCGTTATTCTTTCCCTTCATTCCTCTCTTTCCATTCTTCCTTCATTCCTTCCCTCACCCCCCTTTCCTTCCTTCCCTCTCTCTTTCTCCCTTTCCTCTTTCCCTCCTCCCTTCCTTCCCTCCTTTTCTCCTTCTTTCCTTCCTTCCTTCCTTCCCTCAGTGACGACAAATGGAAGGGAGTGTCGGATTACCAGATGAAGAAACTCGGGAGAACCAACATTGAGGATGGAGAGTTTTGGATGAGTTATAAAGATTTTTGTGACCAGTTTGAGGAGGTGTCCGTGTGTACCATTGGACCTGATTTCGACAAAGATGGAACTGTCGATCACGTGGAGCAGGTAAGCTGATTGTTGAGGTTGTGGTTGTGACGGTGATTGTAGTGCTGTTAAATGTTTGGTTGAAGTTGGTGGTGGTGGTGGTGGCGGTGGTGATGGTGGTGATGGTGGTGGTGATGATGATGTTGACGATGATGATGATGGTTGTGGTTGTGGTTAGTAGGAGTGATGAAGCAAAGTTGAAAGAGAGAAAGAGAAAGAGAATAAGAAACAGAGAAAGATAAAGTGAGAGAGAGAGAGAGAGAGCAAAAAGAAACAGAGAGAGAGAGAGAGATACAGTGAAACAGAGAGACAGATAGAAAATAGAAAAGAGGAAAGAAGAGAAAAGAAACAGAGAGAGAGAGCAAAAAGAAACAGAGAGAGAGAGAGAGAGAGATACAGTGAAACAGAGGAAGAAAGAAAGAAAGAGAGTGAGAGAGAGAGAGAGAGAGAATCAATCTATCTTTCATCCAGGCTTTCTCCCTCGCTACAGGTGAAGGCCATCAAGGGAGAGTGGGTCAAGGGGGTGAGTGCTGGAGGAAGCAGAAACGACTTCGAGAAATTCGCCACCAATCCCCAGTACCTCCTGACAGTGACTGAACCTGGTGAGATAGATAGATAGATAGATAGATAGATAGATAGATAGATAGATAGGTAGATAGATCCAATATGGTTTAGCATCATTATTATTTTGCAGGAATTATCATTGATTACCCTAGAATAACAGGTTTTACTCTCTCTCTCTCTCTCTCTCTCTCTCTCTCTCTCTCTCTCTCTCTCTCTCTCTCTCTCTCTCTCTCTCTCTCACACAGACACAAAAGACGACAATGTCTGCAGTGTGTTGGTGGGGGTGATGCAGGAGCACAGAAGGTCACACCGTCACCTTGGAGTCAAGATGCAACAGATTGGCGTCGTTCTCTACCGGGTAAGTTAGTAGGAACTCTATAGGGGTAATGGGGTTCCTATAGGGTGTCTATAGGGTCCCTGGGGGTGCCTATAGGGGTGTTTAGGGTGTCTATAGGGTCCCTGGGGGTGCCTATAGGGGTGTTTAGGGTGTTTATAGGGTCCCTGGGGGTGTCTATAGGGGTGTGGGGGTGCCTATAGGGGTGTTTAGGGTGTCTATAGGGTCCCTGGGGGTGCCTATAGGGGTGTTTAGGGTGTCTATAGGGTCCCTGGGGGTGTCTATAGGGTCCCTGGGGGTGTCTATAGGGTCTCTGAGGTGTCTAAAGTAACTGATAAGTTTTTTTTTTAACATGTATATATGTTTGTGTTCCAACCTACAGACAGAGGACCCCGAGCATCGCCTACCAGCCACTCACTTCTTCTACAACTACGAGGAAGGAACCTCCGGGGTCTACATTAACTTCCGAGAGGTGTTGTGCCGGGTAGAGTTGAATCCCGGACATTATGTCATCATTCCTGCCACCTTCTTGCCAGATTCTCCTGGACACTTTATGGTCAGGGTCTACTCCCCCAAGTCCTTCGATCTCAAGATGCTGCCGAATGAACTCTCTCTTAAATAATAGTTTTGTTGTTGATGTCAGCTCTTGAAGGATGCTATTGATGCCAGTTCTTGGAAGATACTATTGCTGTCAGCTCTTGGAGGATAATTAGTGACGTCAGCTTTTGCAAGATGCTATTGATGTCAGTTCTTGGAAGATACTATTGACGTCAGCTCTTGGAGGATAATTAGTGACGTCAGCTCTTGGAGTATGTTATTGACGTCAGTTCTTGGAGGATACTAAAAAGTCAGCTCTTGAAGGATGCTATTGACGTCAGCTCTTGGAGGATATTAGTGACGTCAGCTCTTGGAGGATATTAGTGACGTCAGCTCTTGAAGGATACTATTGACGAAAATGATCTTACAATATTACGTTCACTGTTAATTGAAAAAAAAATAACACTACAGATTATTTAGGCAACGACTCTTGACGTTGTTAAGTGTCTAAGGTACAGTCTCAGTGTAATATTTACGTTATAGTTAGGTTACCTTTGTGTTTATTAGAGTGGAAGTAAGTCAGGCTTTGTTTACATTGGCTGTGGGTGGACAAAACAGCCAAGCAAACAAACACAACACTCAAACAATTACAAACAATGAGGATAATGTGGTAATGATCGTCCTTCATTCCTTCCTATCTTAATCTCCTTACTATAAAAATAATAACTTCGCCAGCACGAGCAATCATTATCGTTTAGCGTTCACGTGATTCGTCCTCTTCTCCCCCCTTACTTCTGCATGGCGGGCGAAAGTTCACTCGTCATCTTCTCGTGCTGGCGCTGGTGTTGATGGTAAGAGGCTGAGATATGTGTACATGAGGTCGCCTTTTAATGTATCTGTGATAACTAGTCCGTCCTGGGTTTGTATTGTACTATTACACTTCTGAAGTCACCTGAAGATTAGCCCCCCAGTTTAACCACCATAACCTAACTTACCATAACGCTAGTCTAACCCAACCTAACCTAAGTGTTTGAATCCGTAGCTTAAGAAGGGAGAATGTGTCTGAACTAAGTTATTTAGTCCCCAAATTAAAGTCAAAATTGTACGCTGATGGCTGTATGGTATCTAGATACATTTTCTCTTTGCCATTTGCGTAAGAACCTTTAAGAACTCAAAGTGAGATAGAAACATTGCTTGAGAACTTGAGTGATAGTTATACTACACGATAAACTACTTGTGATATAATGTGACCTGTAATTTACGTGTGTTTGACCATTTTTATGTCAATAAAGATATTAATTCTGCTTAACTTAACCTTGCCTAACCTAGGAAAATCTGACTAATAAAATCAAGGTTGTCAAATTTAAACTAACTTAACCTATATACAGTATTTATCTCTCTCTATTTATCTTTGTGCCTGTCTGTCTATGTCTATTTAAATTTACGTTTGACAATAGATTATATTTGTAAACAAAACTCGTATGTCGTTGTTACTATATCAAATAAATAAATAAATTTATTGTTTGATAACTAGAAAAAAAATCCGGATTCAGGATTGGTCGACCAAGGTGAACCTCGGGTGTAAACAAAGGCTCACTATAGCCTCCAGGTTTATGAATATAGATCAAATAACATAAGAAGGAGGATAATATACCGGTAAGTCTTTATAAAATCGCTTGTAGGAAATAAAATGTGTGTAAATATTGATTTAGAATGAAATTTAACCTTTAAATCAGGTAGGTAACTTGACCTGGCTGAGTGTGACTGAGTTCAGCCGGGGCTTATCTTAAAGTAATTCAGTAATTTGGATCTCTAATTCAGTAGTAGTAGTAGTAGATAGTTGGCAGCTACCAAACAGGGAGGTACTACTGCCTGGGAAGATATTGGTAGCATAATTTGTTTTCTAATTGTAGACCCTGCAGCCATTTGGCATCACGAAAATTGTGGCCAAGTCCCAGGCTGTTGATCTAACTTTGTGCCTCATTTGCACACAATTGCAGGGTCTTAATTATTTCTCTTACTTTGACAAACAACATACATATATTGTTTCTCACTCTTGATCTTTTTTTTCTCAATTCTGTATGTTTTTATTATTATTATTATTATTATTATTATTATTATTACCATTATTATTTATTTTTTTATTTAAATATGAATTATTATTATTATTATTATTATTATTATTATTATTATTATTATTATTATTATTATTACTGGTATTACATTTTCGTCCCCCAGGCTCCGATGTGGGTCAGTGACCTGTGCCCGGGTGGGCTAATCCCAGTAAAAATAAATAAATAAATAAAAAATTTGGGTTTATAGCATTATAAATATGTAATTTTTGGCTTATATCAAAATTTGACTCAATATCAACCATTTTTATTAGGTAGTGGATAAATTACCAGTCACAGCAAAGTACCCCAACAGGCTCTTTGGGCTATTTTACCGGTCTATTGTTTATGTAATATAAATGATATAATACAGCCCGTATTCTATGCAAGTGAAGGTACTGGTTGGTTAATAGGTTTGGCTGGTATGAAGCGCTGTTTGGGTACTAAATGCAGTAAAGGTGGAGAGCACCAGAATTAACTTACAGAGTTAAACCACAATTTCTGAAGATACTACTATTTGCATGATGCTGAACACGAAAGTGGAACTGAGAATTCACAGATCCTATTTGAACCTGACCTAAACTACCTAACCTTACCTAACTTCCCAACCTGTGCATTGTCATTTCGATTTTCTTACTATATTCCAAAGAACATCCCTAGAAAAAATTAACGAATTCAATAAAATATACTGTAAATGATGACAAACATGCCCGATGAGATCGTCATCGGTTTCTTGACATGTAAACAAAGACTGCTGATGCTGCCGCTTAACAGACGACATGAACCAAAACATGGTCACCACAGGAGATCCGACGGCGCCATAATTACGGTAAATAATTTATTTCTTCGCCTACAAAGGACACGAGACATGAAATTGCTGTCATATGATCAGTGGTCGCAGTGTTTTTACCTCATTATTTCCCTCTTCTTTCATGCCCTACCCACTAATAAGTAATTTGTTATCGAAGGACTAGATAAAATTATAAAACAATACAATGTTACCTCCTCAGTATCATCCAAACAACTTCTGAACATTTGGTGTAATTCCATAGAGTCCTTCAGGTGCTAACGGCCTCCTCCACCTTTACCCAAGATGATGTTTATATGAAAATCGCCAAACTAACAGTATAATAATTACAAGTCCTTGTTGTTTGTTGGTACAGTACTGTATGAATTTATAATCATTTACATAAAAATTTTCTAAAGTTGCCAGCTTTTCATGTATGCTCAGGTGTATGCTGTACCTGTTTGTGTGTGTTTTCTCAGATGTATACTTTACTTGTTTGTGTGTGTGTGCTTGAATGTATACTGTATGTTTGTGTGTGTGTGTGCTCAGGTGTATACTATACTTGTTTGTGTGTGTGTGTTCAGATGTATACTGTACAAGTTTGTGTGTGTGTGCTCACAGATGTGACTTTTTCTCCCACTTACAGTACTGTACAATAGTTCAGATCTTAAGCATTATGTTCTTATGATTACTTGTTATCATATGTGTGGTAGCTACTGTATGTTTTTGTAATTGATTTCAAGTGATTTATTTTTTCCATTTACATTAAATTATTAGTTGAAGTGAAACAAACCCAACAGTATTTTCACTGTTCAGAATGGAGTACTATACAGTATCTAATTCTGTACAGTACAGTACAGTAATATCTCCGTTAGCCGGATTCCATCAAACCCGGTTCTCTTCGATAGTCGATATTGAAATTTTATCGGAAAATCGTTCCCAAAGCCGGAATTTTCCGGAAAATTCCGGCTTTGGTAACGATTTTCCGAGGAGCACAATTTCCGGAAAATTACGAGAAAATTTTCCCGATACAGGGGTACCCAGAAAATTCCGGGGATGAAGGATTTTTTACGGCTTTGAGAGAGTCGTCTCGTTACCCGGAAATCTCTCATTCCCGGAAGTGCTCTACACCAAATGTTCCGACTAACGGAGATATCACTGTACAGTACGTATATCAAAATGTTACAAAATAATTGCAAAATTTCACCTAATTCACGATCCTCCTTAATTCAGAAGGGTTGAGCATCTGTGGCGAAGGGTCTACTATGTGCTTTATACAGTATTTATGAGTGTGTAATTTTTGCAGTTACTTTGTGGACGAGGAGTGTTGACTGTCCCTAAAGGAAGATGTGGCCCATTATGATGACTTTCCTGAGGACATATGCTCCCTATGTCACTCTCCCAGCTGCAGCAGTTATTGGATTTATTGGGTGAGAACTTTCTTCCTCAGAATCTTAGTGAAAGATGACCAATTATCTTCTTTATCAATGCAGTCAAAGTACCACTAGCTTTATGTGCAGCTTCTGCTCCCATGGGTGTTGTGTAAAGTTTAGACTTAAGATGCAGAAACAAATAGCTGTTTACTTTTATTCTGTAGGACTGTAGTCACTAAAAACAAATGGAGAAAATTGAAAACCATGGAAATAATGTAGCCAACCGGCCTATTGCAGACTCCTTATTTTCTTATGTTCTTATGTTAAGTGGTAAGATATGACTGGGTGAGAAGGCTGCTATCTGCATTAACTTTGCCCACATAGGTATAGTATTTCCCACCTGAGAAATTCAAGGCCATTTAAAAGGACTCAAGTTCCGGCAGAGGATTTTATACAGTCACCCACAATAGTCTTGTCGCCTCTCCTCCTGAACCACAAACCCCAAGATTCAGACTCATGAATCCGAAGCATTTATGAACAGAATAATACATCAATGTCTACTGCTTTGGGTACATAAGTCTGATTCTCAGGGCTCACAATTCAGGAGAGGCGACAAGAATTATGTAAGTGACTGTGCCTATGTGAATCTTCCAAATCATGTATTTATTTCTTCTCACCAGTCATAGAGTCAGATTTTATGAATTAATCCTTCATTTATGCACAGCAAAATAAAAACTTATATACCTCAGGGTAATACTTACTTATTAACACAGTCTTAAGATAAAAGATTAAACACATGATCAAAGCTATAGTGTAGGTTTAGTGTTGCAAAGGAGGAAAGTGGACGATTTTCTAACTTTCTAACAGACAGTAAAGTTGGAAAGTATCAGGAGGAATGCTAATATATATGGGATATTGATAATAAATAATTGGGCCCCTTTGTCTTATTCCTGGATCTGCCACTGTCATGTTTGTCTTTCTGTCTGTCTGTGAGAGTGAGTGTAAACCTGTATATAAAATACCATTACCCCTTATATTAAATTTAAATAATAAATGTTCTTTTAATATTCTTCTCGTACAGGTACAACATAGAGAAACAGTTCCGCACAACTCCCCCGAGTCGTCCATCTGTTGAAGAGAAACGTAACGAAAGACTCTTGAAGGAGATAATGGAGTCTGAACAAATGACTCCAGCTCCCCTTAGTGAAAAGACCTTTGTTCCTAAGACAATATTTGAGAAAAATGTGTCTCCAACCTTGGTGAAGGACTGACTGGCATGGACTGTAGGCTTTTTTATGTATATATACATGTATGTACTGTACTTACATGTTAGTGATCAGGGATGTTATGTTTTAAAATTATATAAATATTTCAGGGATATTTTACATTATAAATTTGGTACTGTACATGAAGACTTGTACATTGATTTAATGGTGCTGTTCATAGGACTAAAAACGTTTTCTCTGAACCAGTTAAACAGACGGGTTAGAAATAAGAAATACAGTATAGGGCAGGGTACAGTACTACAGGAAAGTCTGTATGAATTAACCTTTGACAGCTTTCAAACCTGTTGTTTATCTCCGTATATACCAGCAGCTTTAATTTAGCTCTCTGTGCATCTCCGATTTTAGAATAACCATAGAAGGTACAGTATTGAGAGAGGTGACCATCTTGTTGAGATACCTTGTGTAAAGCTGTATCTGTGGACGTCACTTACCGTACTCTTATAATTGTTCTCTACAAGTTTGAATAATGGATTGTCGTTTTTCTGTCTGGTCATGTGATAGAGAGATTCATCTATTACTTATATTAATAGCAAAAGATAAACAAAATTTTATTTTAAAGTGTCTTCATTGTAGTTATCCACACAGATGTGATCCCATTATTCAAGTTGTCACTGTTCTCTCCATCTAATTGTGTGTATCTCCAGTTTGTTGTTTGTTCATTGAAAATGTTAAGTGGCTCAAGGGTTCATACATTATACTGTATATAATTGTTTATATCTTCAACCAAATGCATGGAAATATGTGCAGCAGCA